GGGGGGGGGGGGGGGGGGGGGGTGGGCGGGCAGTGGGCAGGCGTGGAGAGAGTGGGACTGCTGTTAAGGCGGTCAAACTTTGTGTGGGGCGGCCATGAATTCGGGTTTGGTAACGCCGACGCCCACTAAATACAGGGCCTCGTGAAGACCCACGGACCAGGCGCGTCCAACCGGCGCCTCAACATTAGATGTCGCGTCATGGGCGGGAATATTCGCGATTGAGCGTACTTACCCGTAGTATAACATCCCGTTTCTGCGATATTGGGGGCAGACAGAGACGATATCGGATCTACCTCAGTATGTGGGGTTGTTTGGTGCAAATGAGAGCAGAATCTTGCGTCACTCGTTTGGTACAACAATGTACACACATCTACCCGGTACAGGACTTGGAAAAAGAGCCGTATGCATACGTCCACCTATTTTATAAATTTTAGGTACCGTTGTGTACGACTTGCACTCCGTGGAACCATGACAACCCCGGTTGACGAATGCACATGCATACGTACCCACTGACAAGGGACGAGCATGGAATGGATCTGCTTCATAGCCGTGGCGGTGTTAGTAGACGGAACCTGTCTGTCGAGTGGGGAAAAATAGCGACATGCGACTCGTCGAACTCATTACTCACCTGCCCACTAAACATTTTGATCTTTTCCACCTGGCCGAAGCAGCTCAGCAGCGCTACGAGGTCCCCCTGTATCGAAACGGTGTTCAAGCAGCAGCAGCGTCAGGGATTAATGAAAAAAAGTGGTCTCGGGCCTCGAGGGCACCCGCGGGCGTATCCCGCTGTGGGGAATGGCATGCGCATGCCCGTGTGCTGGAGGGAAATCATCCTAACGCGGAAAAAACGAAAAACAACCCCAGGACTTGAGAATCTCAAACCCCGTCGTCTTTGCACGATTTAAAAAAGCAGCATGCACCACGCCAGCAGCGGTGATGCCCGCGCACTCATCGGGTCCTTACCAAGAGCTGCACTGCTGAGAAAACCGCCACATGACGTGACCAGGAGATGGAAATTGGTGTACAATCCGAGCCAAACAAATGCACATGGAAACACGGGGCCAAGTCCCCCGGCATAGACGGCAGCAGCGGCAGCAGCAGCAGCAGCAGCAGGGAAACAAAACAAACATACACCGCCCTGTGATTGCCGGCCAGCAAGGTCCTCATCGAGAAGAACAGCCACACACGAAAACGGGAACACTTCGAGAGCACCACGAAAAACTTGCCCTCCCTTCACGTTCATGTACCCCCACAAGCCAACGAAAAAAATTCTTCCAACAGCACCAGAATCACACACGCACAGATAAAAAATATCTCAGGCAGAAACCACAGGAAAAGGCGCCCAACCTCCCCCTCCTGTGTGACCCCGGTTGGGTCGTCTAGCTGGTAGAAGAGGAGGATAAGCTGGTAGAAGTGGAGGATAGGGGCCAGAGAAGCAGACGACAAAGTCCAATAATGGGAGACCAAAAAAACAAATAGAGGCATCTCCTGTGGGAATCATCTTGGAACGGGCAATCTTTCCCCTGATCCTTGACGGAAATTATGCTTGCTGAGAATCGCAACCATGCTAAACCCATTCCAGAGGCGTCTTGCATCCAGACGCAGTTAACCCTAGATCCTACCTCCGCGCGTTGTCATCTGCAACAAACATGGTTACCGCGAGCCACGTGTCTCATACAAGGCGGAGTCGCGCCAGGCAACAAAATTATACCGCTTCGAAGCAGGGCGGACCCCCCACGGCAACGACAAAATCCGCCATGTACAGATGCTTTTGTTCTTAGCTCCAACTGGCATTACTGATAACTCAGTGTTAGGCTTGCACAAACTACAACTACGCCAAGTCTACAGTTGGTTTCAATCCACTTGCTGGAAAGACTTCACCACATCCCTTCCGGCTGAGGTTATGTCTCGAAAGACTTACCCGTTCGAGATATAACCTCAGTCTATCTTGTTTATGCATTGCACGCGGCTTACACGCGGCGGATGCCGACACGCTTCGAGCAGGGAAAAAAAAAGAATCATCATCATTAGGTCCTACGGACATGTGTGCATGTGTACGATATGCAGTCATCAACCGTCCTCGAGAACACTGATTAAAATGTGCGTGCCACGACTTCCTCACAGCGAACAACTTTTACAACCGTAGGTCGTGTGCACATAAGAAGTCCTTCATGAAGGCCGTGTTCAACCCCCCCGCCTTTCCCGACCGCCTATTGTCCCTTTATGATCACGTGCCACATTGTGCAGAGGACAGACAGAAAGTTTCACATTCCTGTTTGTGGTTTGTGGTGTTAAGTGTGTGGGTGCCCCCTACATCAAAAGAGAACTTGATGCCGCCCGGAGTCCGTTCTTTCGTTTGAATGTGTCCAGCGAGAATATAAACACCCGAAGGTAGACATCGCTTGCTCCCACCTATTGCACTTTTCAAAAAGTCCGCACTGCGCGATACATACGCATCATCTATGACGGAGTACCTATACAATACGTTCGTCGAAGTTCGCCACCCACAAAGCATGCAGTCATCCTACGCGGGCACCTTGGCGATGGCCGCCGTCATCGCCCAACGGAAAGGAGGAGGCCACCGGACACATTAAAATGCATCCGGCATTTTGTACCGACGACATTACTACGAAAGGGAAAAAAACTTCATTTTTTTACGATGACTTGTCAAGAGGAAAGAGCACGAAGGTCAAAGTTATTCCGTTCTCGGCGATGCAGAGTTCTATAGTTCTATACACACGTACACACGAGGAGCGGCAGGCTGCAGCGCACAAAACAAGGTACACGCTGAAGCAGATAAAAGATCAGCAGCACACACAGAAAGAGGCAGCAAAAAAAGGCCGGTACATGTATAAACACAAAACCAGGGTTGGCTTGGGCGTGCCAAAGCGCTACGGAGCCCTCCCATCTCTCTCTAGCGCGCACCTGTACAACCGGGTGGCCGACATTTCGCACGTGGAGCACCTTTGAAGGCTCCGGGGTTTGTCTCGGCGACCCATCCGCTCCACCTCCTCCTCGCCGCCTCGGTGACGCTCCTCCTCCCCCTCCACCTCCCCCTACCGCCCTGTCCCACCTCGGGGACTGGCTGCTCACGCTGCTACCGCCGCTGTGCAGCCTCCCCTCGTCCCGGTAGCGGCTCCGTCTCGAAGACCGCCCGCTCGCTCCTCCTCCTCCTCCTCTTCCTCCTCCCGCACGGCGCTGCCTCGTTGATCTGCCGCTGCTGCTGTCGTCGCTGCTGCTGCGGTCGCGGCTGCGGCGGCTGCCCGCGCGGCTCTCGCTGCTCGAAGCCGCCCTGGCGCTGCCGCCGTCGTAGACTCCCTCCTCGGAGGCGGATTCGTTGCTGCCCGCAGCGGCGGAGGTGACGCTCTCCGCTCCTCCAACTCCTCCGCCCATCGCGCCGCCGCCGCCGCTGACTTGTGCCGGAGTTTCAGACGAGTCTATCATCGGGGATCCAGGCGAGGAGGGCGATCCGCCTCCAGCGCTGCCGGCGGAATTGATGGCGAGCATGTCGATCGCCCGGAGCACTCCGGGGTGTGAAGGGGTGGACGCGCACTCGAAAGCTGGGGCAACTGCTGCGGAAGCTTCGTCGGTGGTGATTGTGGAGCCAGCCGCGTCGCCGACGTCCATAACGTTCGGCCGAAAGAGCTAGCTCCTTAGGCGCCTCCCCTATGCTGTGCTTTGCTTGCTGAAGGAAGATTCGCAACAAAGATCATGGGTGGTACGCCAGAAGCGGAGAAAGAAGAGAGAGAGGTGTGGTGGCGGCGGGAGAAAGGGGGTGCGGGGATCGACGTCGTTGATGGGTAGCGGCGATAGGGGGGGGCGTTAGACCTCAGCAGGCGTGATGGGCTGTGGTAGAAACTCCCTCACTCCTGAGTGAGGAAAAACGGGGATTCTTAAGTGTGGTGTGAAAATCTCTCGCCTTCTTTGCATCAGTCATGTTTTTTCTTTCGAGACGTGAGCGCTGACCGACCGACCGCCTCGCACACAACAAAGTTGTGTGCAGTTTGTGCCGTAAACCGATTGATCGCGCGACACAAAAGGGGGCGCACCACGGCAGTGAAATGGGTCGAACCTTCTGCGTCTCTTCCTCGGCTGTGTGCTCGCGTCGCGTTGAAGAGGTTCTTGCCACAGTACAGGTGCTGAGGCGAAAGCTGTGCGCAAAACGATGTGTGTTTCCGAGAGAGTCAGAAGCGCTGGGGCGGGGGGGCTTTGGGTTGGAATTTATCGGAAAATGAGAGAGATCCATTATATGAATACTCATAGCCGCGGACCCCCCAAAACAGCGTCCGCACCAACGGAGCCCAGAGCCGGAGCGCAGTGCCACCTCACCTGCCTCAGCTGCTCGTCACCGGAACCTGCTGTGAGGATAAGAATAATACAAAGACGGGGTTGATTGTAGACGAAAGTTCACAACAATGGCGGACGAGCTTTCGAAGGAAGAGGAGGCTACGGACTGGTATGTCGTCCTCGGTCTCGATGTGGGCGCCAGCGACAAGGACGTCAACAAGGCCTTCAAGAAGATGTCTCTGGTGTGGCACCCCGATAAGAACGGAGGCAGCGAGGAGGCGCACGCGAAGTTCATGAAGATCAAGGAAGCCAAGATTTTCCTTCTCGATGGGAAGAAGAGAGGTCTGTACGACCAGAAGAGGGCGGCTCGCCGTAAAACCGAGGCATTGTTGGTGAGTTCTTTCTATTATCATATAGGGCGTTGGTACGCGGTATCCCTCTGCATTACGGAGACTACGCTGTAGCCTACTGCTCCAGAGGGGACGAATACAACACCACCATGCTATGGTTACGACATCCACCCGCCGAGCACGTTTACTTTCTCAACAACTGCATCTCAATATTGATGGAAAAACCAAGACTAAAGCAGCGGGTGGTACTGCTGTAGGTCTGCGTAGACTACGTAGAGATGACGGGCGGCGTCCATGTCTCCGCGCTACAGCCGTATTACTGAAGTAGCCGTCGGAAAACAATTTCTCGTTGGGTTCTTGGAAATTATCAATGGAAGACTAGCACCCGGTGACTCCCGCTGAATCCGAGCGCTTATACACTGAACGGTGGGTGACGCTCTGTGTGCATTTCTTCGAGCAGTAGTAATACTTCTATGTACATTGATAGCTGGTTTCTTCGTTTTCTTCGAGAATATCCGGTAACATGCTCGCACTCCGGCAACCACTTCGCCTTCTCTCTGTGCGGAGTATTCGAAAAGCTAGCCAGCAGAGTAGACGAGGTTGGTGTCAAACTTGTCCTCCGCAGTGCGCAGGCAGTTTACCCCTCCGAGTTCATGATCTTCTATGATGCAGACCCTCATCTCGGTACGCAAGTGTACTTGCGCCCCAAACTAATACATACCCCGTCTCTTCGGCCATGGCTCGCTGCTATCCATCCTTCCTTACCATGGAACCCCCCATCCCCACCAGGCGGAACGAAATCGTACCATGGGGAAAAGGCAGCGGGAGCTCCGCGTGGAGCTAGAGAGACGAGAAAAGGAGGCCGCCAGCGGGTCTTCATTTTCGTCGCCGTCGAGCCGTGCCGGAGGCTTGGGAGCGGGAGGCGCGGCGAGGGTGGCCGCCGCAAGGCTCGACGAGCTCAGGAAGAAGGGCGAGGCCGAGCGCCAGAGGCAAAGCGCGGATTGGAGCGTCAAGAGCGCGAAGGTCAAAAGCGCCAGCGCCAGGAAGCGCAGCGCGCCCTCCTCGGGCCTTTCCGGCGCGAACGGCGGCGGCGGAGTTTTCGATGACGATGGCCTAGAGGAGCGGACCTTGCGGGTGAAGTGGAAGAACAAGAAGGAGTCCCACTCGGACTACACCCTGGACGTGCTATTCAGCAAGTTCGGCGTGGTGCAGTCGGTGTCGATCGAGGAGGGTACGGGGAACAGGGCGATGGTCGTGTTCGCGTCCGCCGTGTCTGCCGACGCCGCCATGGCCGCTTACGGCAGTCGAGAAGGCGGCAGCGAAACCATGCGGACGAGCTACGTCGGCAAACGGCGGGCGAAGCGGAGCGCCTTCGCCCCTCGCCGTCACACCATGTCCCCGAGAATACCAACAGGCGATGGGCAGGCGGAAGGCTTAAGCTCGTTCCGGGACCACGAGTCTATCACGATGATGCATCTGCGCAAGGAAGCGGAGCGTCAAGCGCTTATCAGGAAGATGGCAGAGGAGGAGGGTCTGGCTGTGGGCGATGGACAGAAGGATGCTGCTGCGGGAAACGGGGCTGCAACGTCTACAATGGAAGTAACGAGCGGGGGAGAGGGGGAACATCAGAGTGAAGTTTCGCCTAGTGACAGCGGCGTGGGTAGTAAAACGGCTGGGAACGTAGCTTCTCCAAAGGCAAGCCAGAGGGGCGAAGCACATGCGGTCGGCTCAGCCGGAGACGAAGCGAGTCTTGGGATTGGTGGGATTGGAGCGAGCGGAAGTGAAGCCGCAGGGGGTAGTGTGAGGGCAGGAAACACGCCAGCTTTTCCCGTCTCGCCCTCGATGTCGGCCCGTAAGATGCCTGCCACAAGCGATTTCAAGGCGAGAAGGAAAAGTGACGCCCTCCTCTCAGCAATGGGTGGCGGCAGTGGTGTGCGTCCTTCCCCCGTTCCTGCTGGGATTGGTGCGTTTGTAATCGGGAGTAAGAGTGTGCCCACCACCCCGGTCTCGAGAAGAAGCATGGCGGGGACACCCATAGACGAGAGTGATATTTTGGCGCGGATGATGACGATGAAGCGTTGATTAACTTCTTGTCTGTTGTGCGCAAAGTGTGCGCGGGTAGGTTTTGTGAGCGTGAGGTACATTCTTGTCGTGGGGTTGTTTTTTTTGCTTGTTTTTCTCCCNTGTTTTTTAGCGATAACTTTCGAACAAAAACGATTTGGAAGGTGAAACTGCTTTGGCCGTGACGGCGGCGTCGAGCTGCGTCGATATCCGATGAGTTTTTTGTGTTTGGACAAAATGCGACTTTTTGGTCATAATGATCGACGGAACCCCTACCCCCCCCTCCGACCCCCACGGGGCCCCTTAACCTCTTCACGGAACCCCCAAATCACACTGTANTTGTGTTTGGACAAAATGCGACTTTTTGGTCATAATGATCCACGGAACCCCTACCCCCCCTCCGACCCCCCACGGGGCCCCCTAACCTCTTCACGGAACCCCCAAATCACACTGTAAATGTCCGGTAAGAGCCCAAACACGCTCTGAACGGGTAACCCTCGCCTCACAGGACACGATTTACAAAAGCGAACACCACGACACAAACACACAAAAATGATTATAATTAAAGTGAACACCACAAATACAAAAACACAAACACCACGACACACACCTCCGTCCACGCTTGCGCGTTTCGGACAGCTTATTTTCCTAGGAATCTCACCAACAACCTAAACGCTTCCTTCAAAGTTAAAGGCGACCGCGACCGCGGGCGCAGCTCGCGCTTTTCGCACAGCGAGAGCAGCGCCCTTTTCTGCTTGAACGATTTGAAATTCTTTTTCGCCCTCTTAATCGACTCAGTACGCAGCTCCTGCGCGGCTGCTAGCGCCTTCTCCTCTGCTTTCTTCTTCTCCTCCTCCGTCTTCCCTGCCCCTGCCCTCGCCAGAACCACGGAGTCACCCCTCTCCGTGGGGGAACGGTGGCTCAACCACTTCTTGAGGTCGCGGACCTCGAGGTAGTCCACCAATCCCTCGTCGTAGACCTCGAGATACAGCCACGTCACCCTGCTCCACCCGCGAACAACCCCAGCGGGACGCCACTCAAGGCGCCTGGCAGAATCTCAAGCATATGCGGGAGAGAGTTCCGGTAAGAGCCCAAACACGCTCTGAACGGGTAACCCTCGCCTCACAGGACACGATTTACAAAAGCGAACACCACGACACAAACACACAAAAATGATTATAATTAAAGTGAACGCCACAAATTGCAAAAACACAAACACCACGACACACACCTCCGTCCACGCTTGCGCGTTTCGGACAGCTTATTTTCCTAGGAATCTCACCAACAACCTAAACGCTTCCTTCAAAGTTAAAGGCGACCGCGACCGCGGGCGCAGCTCGCGCTTTTCGCACAGCGAGAGCAGCGCCCTTTTCTGCTTGAACGATTTGAAATTCTTTTTCGCCCTCTTAATCGACTCAGTACGCAGCTCCTGCGCGGCTGCTAGCGCCTTCTCCTCTGCTTTCTTCTTCTCCTCCTCCGTCTTCCCTGCCCCTGCCCTCGCCAGAACCACGGAGTCACCCCTCTCCGTGGGGGAACGGTGGCTCAACCACTTCTTGAGGTCGCGGACCTCGAGGTAGTCCACCAATCCCTCGTCGTAGGCCTCGAGATACAGCCACGTCACCCTGCTCCACCCGCGAACAAACCCCAGCGGGACGCCACTCAAGGCGCCTGGCAGAATCTCAAGCATATGCGGGAGAGAGTACTCGCAGGAGAGGCGAAGGAGGTGCTTGACGTATCCCCAGTACCGCTCGATGGCGTTGAGCTCTGGGTGATACTTCGCCAAGAATATGCAGATGTGCCCCGCTTTCTTGAACATCTTTTCGACCTTGTTGAGCTTCACCTTGAACGCCTTGAGCTCTGCAAAAGCTTTCCTAATGCAGCAGTGACGCCTCATGCCGACACGGTTGCCAGCCGCCCCGCCTTCTGTCCCCTCCTCTGGCGAGGCACCGTCTCCTCCACCGTCCTGGTCTTCGCGCGCCGCATCATCCAACGCCTGCTGCCGTGCCTCTCCGACGCGGTTGAACGCGGTTATTGCTGCCTTTATTGCCTTCCTTTCCTCTTTGCACGCTTTGCACTCGAGAACCCGAATGGGAGCCTGGCCAGGAACGTCCCACAAGCCCATCTCCATGAGCAGCTGCTGTCCGCCTTTCGCCTGGCCGATCAGGCCTGAGGTACGGCCGGTAGTCCGTACTTTTTCGCCCGCTTTGAAGTCTCCAAGGCTGCTGCCGAACTTGGGCCTCTTGTATTTTGGATCCTTTTTCGCCGCCTCCCTCTCTTCCTCCTCCAGCTGCTCGGGCGTCTTTGCGGCGTAGACGTGCGTGTCGAAAAGAACCGTATCGCCCTCGCGAAATGTGGCGTGAACAAGGTTCCCCTGATCGTCGAGGAAATC